TTTTGAATATTTGAATACTCGAATTATTCGAGTTTGGCTCCGAGTCCTAATCCATACCATATACATACCCGTTTTAGTAATTAGAAGCAAAGACAAGTAGACTTGTCTCTGTTAGAAGTTTCAGGATTTTGATTAACGTAACCACAGACAAGACCATAGATAAAGACAAGACTTGTCTCTGAACGTAACCTCAAACTGAATTGCGCATGTCATTTAAGCAAGGAGCCGATTGCGATATATGCGCTAGTTGAAAACTTCAGTTCGTTCGTCGGACTCGTGTAAAGTGCATTGTTTATAGTTTTACTTCGAATTTTTGTGAAAATGGCTAACTTACGACAAACGCCATTGACTTGCAGTGGACATACGCGACCCGTCGTCCACTTGGATTTCTCAGAGATCACCGAGAGCAGCTATTTCTTGATTTCTGCCTGTAAAGGTAAACACGAACTCTGTAAGGTCAGGATTTGTTGACTACAAATTCGTCAAACATATTGTATACCTGCAGCATTTAACCTTCTTGGAGACACGAATAACACCTTGGCCTAGATTTTTCGGCCGCCGGTCGACCCTATAAAGAAAACGACCTTTGATTTGAATGGAAAGCCTTTGATAACTATCAAGGGCAAGCTGTCGATCTTCCTGCTTCAACCTTTTTTGCATATAATAACTCCGTATCTACTAATCCTTTGATAACAACAATTACTTCGAGATAATTTAGCAATTTGCGACTTACTTTAATGCTGGTATTTTCATTTCTTAAGCCTTAATTTACAATGCAAAATTTATCAGCATATGGACGAAGTTTATTGCTAGAATTCTCAAAACCAATAACAAATAAGCTGGTAAGCCACACTTGCCTAGTTTCGGATTGATTAATATTCCGCTCCAAATCCAACTCAACCATGCAAAGTTTCCGTAATTCCACATAAGTAACAGTTAATTTTAACGTTTAAATCTACTTCAGACGGAAAACCCATGCTCAGACAAGGAGACACTGGAGACTGGATTGGCACATTTGAAGGACATAAAGGGGCTGTTTGGGGCGTAGCCCTAAACGCTGATGCTACAAAAGCTGCCAGTGGGGCTGCTGATTTTTCTGGTAAATGTTTTTAACCGTTTAGCTTAGGCGCCAAATTATACTGGATCCATTTCAGGCAAAGTGTGGGATGCCATTACTGGAGAAGAACTGCATTCCTTCCAGCACAATCACATCGTAAAAAGTGTAAATTTTTCTCGAGATTCCGCTTTGTTAGCAACAGCCAGTAATGAGAAGTTGGTTCGGCTATTTGACCTAAATAAACCTGAAGCTGGTAAGCGCCTTGACTGAAACTTTCTATTAAAATCTAATCTATTGTCTATCTGCAGTTCCAGAAGTGTTCTCAGGCCACACAGCTGGCATAAGACACATTTTGTTCTTCAGAAATGATACGCACCTGGTTTCTTGTGCAGATGACAAAACCTTAAGAGTCTGGGATAGGTCAAATAAACAGGTAAATTGGCGAAAAAGACAAAAAAATAAATCCTAATGAATTGAAAATTTCAGGAAATCCACAAAGTGTCTTTCCCGTTCAGCCCCAACAGTTTGGAAGTATCCAAAGACGGTTCGGTATTAACAGTGGCTTATTCCAACAAAGTGGCCTTTTATGATGCGGAAACCCTCAATAAAATCCGAGAATATACCATTCCATCGCCTGTTAATTCTGCATCCCTACATCCGGACAAGAGTATCTTTGTCGCAGGTGGGGATGACCTGAAGGTCTACAAGTATGACTATCAAAATGGCACAGAAATAGGTAATTTAATATGATATAAAAATTATTAGTTACGTTTTGTTTTGGAAGGGTTTAAAAAACATTGTTTGCTTTATAACTGCGAAAAAATAGATGTCTCAATCGGGTAAATTAATCCTGGGATTTTTTTGCAGAGTCGTTCAAAGGTCACTTCGGCCCGATTCACTGCATAAAATTCTCTCCGGATGGCGAGTTGTATGCTTCGGGATCTGAAGATGGTACATTGAGATTATGGCAGACTACTATCGGCAAGACCTACGGACTATGGAAGTGCACTGAATCAGCTAATCTGAATGAAAGCTTAACACCCAAAGAAGTTCAGGCAAACTGAAGAACACTGCTAGAAAATTGGATACCATCTAACGAAATTTCCCAAGTCTTAATTCGATGCTTTCATAAAATGGACAACTAGCATTTATCTATAGGTAAATCTTTATATCAGTTTTTCAGCTTGGTTGTTACTTTGCAAATCTCCCGGCTTAGAGATTCAACGTTACTAAGTCTGATAGACTTGTAAGTAGTGTTTGCCATGATATAATGACAAATAGACTGATGAGTTCTTTAGACTGTTTCTACTTTCTGCCCTAATTAAACACTGTTGTTGCCACGTTGTACTTTGGTTTCAATTCGCTACCTTTCCTCCAATGAACGCGAGAGAAAAACACCATTTATATTTACTTACAGATATAGTTATTATTAGTCTTGTGAAATGAACGGGTTGGGAATCGATTCCATGCCATCCATGGGACAAATTAAAACTACACTAGTTCCTCTGCACACAACAAGGCCTAGTTCCCTTGTATCCTCCGCTAGTTTGTACGGATCGTCTGGGTCTCTCAGGTATTCGATTGTATTGTCTAGTACGAGGTTCAAGAGAGGGTCGTAGCCCTTTAATATCCCACTAGCTTCTCTGCCTCCAGCGAACTTAACCCTGATCGTTTTCTCCAAATATTTGGAAAGATCCAGGATCGATTCCTTTCGTTTTTTCTCCTTTTGGTCCTGCATTTGATTGTTGGCCTGAAATTTGTAAAGTTATATGTAAAAGGGTGCTAATTAAAAGTTTGATCATCAGAATTAAAATTAATGTTCAATTTACGGGATGATTCAGACCCCTTAAAGACCAGACGGTTACTAGAAACTTTAGAATTGAAAGTTTCTGGAAAATCATCGTTGAACTAATCATCAAGCAAGGATAGGCGGAAGACATAAACAACTGATACAAAATAGAAAACTCAAATGGAAACAACATACGAATCAAATATGTTGTGAAAAAGTGTCGAACAATCCGGTAGAAGATAGAATGATAATTTGGGATCAGAAATGGATTGGTAAGATACTCACGAAATTAAGACAAATCGAATATATGCAAAATATACAGCTGAAGCCAAGAAAACCAAACTTCAAGACTTTCCTGTGATTATTGGGGGACGAGACAAAAGAGGAGCCGGTTGAAGACGAAATTTATGACTAATAAATCTGCGAAAATGTGAAAACATCAGATGTATACAATTCTTGTCAGCTCCAGTAGATAGCTGCAAATGGGAAATGGTAATCAACGGCGTACTACGAGCAAAAACACATCAGTAAAGGCTCAAACTTTGGCAGCTTATAGAAGGTTTCTCCAATACATTTTCAGCACGTGTTATATGCAAAAACTCACCTTTCTCTTCTCTGAATCACCTGATGCCATAATTAAGGAATGTTCAAATTATATTCTAATATGTTTATGTGTTTATTAAAAACTTCAGTATAATTCACAGGTATAATTGTATTTGAACTCATTTAATGACAGTTTAGGTTATGTTCAGGCTTGCCAGGTCTACCGTTTTTACGGTAATTCTAACGTTTTGGTGAGAACTCATCTCAAATGTACACTCATTTAATTATATTTCGTTTTGTTTTTAAATCTACCTACTTTTTTATGTCTATTCTTCTGCTATTGTAGTACTTGACCTGGCAACACTGGTCATGTTATGCAAATTCTGTGCCTCCAATCACATTGATTGGTTGCAATAGGAGTTGTTTTTATTTGTTTGGGGCGTGGATGAATAGCTGGCAACCATGCTACCCCCCACTCGAATCCAGTAAAAGTGACATGAACAATTTTCTGTCCATTTTGCGAAAAAAAGTAGCAAAAACTGTATTTTTTTGTTGAAATTTACCCAGTGTTAACGTGTTGAACCACGTTGTGTATCGGTGACCGTGTGACAATCCCGCAATTCGCTTTTCTTAACGGTTAAGTGCAAAAATCCATCTGTTTATTTACTAAAGGAACGACCTTGCAAAAAAAAAAATAAACTATCCAAGCAGGAACGTTTCATTATTCTTCAGCGGAGCGGCATTCCTTGCATTGTTATGCTTCAGATGGCCATTAGTTTACCGAACTCGCAATCCTCAAAGTAAAATGGGCTTGACTGTATCCGGAAAACGTTGCATTCAGCTGGCCTAAAGTTACTCAGCGATATACTTTCACTATTTTATTTGATTATGGTTGCAAACAAACTAGCTCCATTGCTATGGCCGGGGAACCTAGCAAGCCCCCTGAAAAACAGTACGACTATCTGCTGAAGTTCCTTCTGGTAGGAGACAGTGATGTGGGCAAACAGGAAATATTGTCCGATTTGGATGATGGTGCTTTAGAGAGCCCTTTTTGTAGTGGCAGTGGTAAGTGTACGTATTGATTCTTCACTACTACTAATTTAGTTTTGCGTTGTTTTTATTTGCTCAGGATTTTACTAACATCGCTTAAAATACCCACTTTCTTCCTGTCTGTTAGAAACTGTTGCAAAGTCGCAGGTTTTACAAGCATTTTTACAGTTTTAAATGCATATGTTTTCAGTTGAAATTGGTTGAAAGAATCCCATACATTTGATTCACTTGTTAATGTTAGAGCAGTGTTGAGGAAACTAAGGCAAAATAGTACATAAAGAAATTTGTTCACAAAGACACTTTGTTGTGTAAAACGAAATATAAAAGTGCCCCCATTCAATATCATCCTGATTTTAGGCCTGCTAACTCAAAAAAAATTTATGAAATTGTTAAAAAACGGGATGTTATCTCTTAAACTTTGCAGAAATTTCGCATTTTTGCATCTAGCTTTAAAACGGTTAGGGATTTCTGATATGTTATCGAAGAAAAGAAGACTGTCGAAAACGTCCTGATGATTGTTGCGTTATTTTCGGCCGTTTTCCAGATGTAAGTAAAAAATGTTCACAAATTCATTAATTTTGCGGTTGGGGAGTTTTCCTACAATCCTAAGGAGATAAAGAAAACTGGTATCAAAATGGTTTTATGATTCAACAGATATGTTTCTCCCTTTTCGAGCAAATTTTATGTTTTCTCGGTTTTGCTTAAATATATTTAAAGTTTCAGAATTTCCAAACAAATTAACTAGTGAAAGGCAATCCCCGAGAAGAGTTATCGAAAAATAAATAACGTCTCTTTGGGTATTTTCAGTCCTTATTGAGAGATTGACATTTTTGTTGTATCTTTTTAACAGGAATTTTTGTTAAAATTTAATTCACGAAAGTAGTAATGAAGACGGGGCGTCGAAAAAGTTATTGCGGCTGTTCTGATCTTTGCAACCGTTTTGGAGATATAGCGCTTTCAACGTTCAAGCGCCTGAAAACGGGCGAAGCCCTAGTCCAAACTCTAGTTTTTTGTACGAAAAAAAAATACATCAAATGCTTTAACGAAAAGGTTGTTACCATACATGCGATATTTTCAACCCTTTTCAATAGATAAGATGTTTTCAACCTTTCTTCTACTTGTTTTGAAAATATCCATTTACTAGATCATCTTTCCAAAATCCTCTTTTTTCTACATTCTTTGGCAGTTTTCAAGATTAGGAGCAGTATAGCACAGCTTCAAGTATTATTCGTGTGTTTGAAAACAAATGATTATAATCACGATCCAAAGTGTCTGCATTAATTTCCGTAAAGAATGGAAATAAAACCCATTTTTGCCGTCTGTATTAGCTAAGCTACTGGTACAAAACAATTTTATGAAAATCGGTTAACCGAAGTAAAAGTCGCAAAGTAAACTTAACCAAATATCCGGTGCGCTACTTTTTTTAAACTAAGTGTTTTATTGTGAAGTGAACTGTGGAAGCTCGAAACGCCTTCGTGAATTGTTACTAAGGAAAGTGGCAATGGATCTTGGGTGGTCATCTAGGCTAAATCAGTTTAGTTTCTTTATGCCATTAATGATTTTGATTCATTTTCGTTTTAGATAAACATTCGTTTTCCAATAGATCGTTGATCTACACAGTGATCCAGCAAATCAAATGTTTTACGAAAAAAAACTCGCATTTACAACCGGCTTATCTGAAAAAATGTTCTTCATTTTGTATATAAATTGAGGTACCATGAAAACTATGTTCTTTGCAGCATATAAAACTACTACCATTCTCCTTGATGGAAAGAGAGTAAAGTTGCAATTGTGGGATACTTCGGGACAGGGCAGATTCTGCACCATAATAAGGTCGTATTCCAGAGGAGCCCAGGGTGTACTTCTGGTTTATGATATTACCAATAGGTTAGTAAAAATGTTGCAAATACGCTTTGCTCATACACAGGGTGTTTCTACCTAGGAACGTTTGATATCTAGCAGACAAGTTCATGAAAACAGCCACTGTTCCTTCAAAAATGTATTTCTGAAAACGTCAGGCATTTCTTTTACGGACACCTTGTACATTGGACTATATTGAGTCACATAAAGCTGGGTAAAATATAAAATACGCGATTTTTAGATGGTCATTCGATGGCTTAGACCGCTGGCTTAAAGAAGTGGACAGTCACGCGCCAGGCGTTCCAAAAGTTTTAGTGGGTAATCGGCTGCATTTGGCTTTCAAACGGAAAGTGAGCCAAAGAGACGCTCAACTCTACGCCAATAAACATAGTATGGCCTTTTTCGAGGTGTCTCCACTTTGCAACTTTAACATACACGAAAGCTTTTGCGAACTGTCCAGAATGGCGTTGCAGCGGAACGGGATGGAGCGGCTTTGGAGGTATTTTTTCGGTCGTTTGCAAGCTAAACCCAGCTGGAAAGGACATGATTTTTATATTATAGGTCTAATAAAGTATTAAGCCTGCAAGAACTGTGCTGTCGAGCGATTGTGGCGAGAACAACCGTTTACAGTATTGAGCAACTGCCTCTGCCGACTTGTGTAAAGTCGCATCTCAAATCCTATGCTTTAACTTCAACTAATACTCAACAATTTAGGTATACGACTAATCATAAGAAGCATTCAAGGAAGTTGAGGTAGTTAAAGTTTATTTTAAAATGACTGTGTAATAATGCTTGTTTTGGATTTAAATCATAGATTAACCAGTATTCCGAATACTCCCGGCAGCATGGACAGCAGGACAAGTTGCGTGCCACGTAACTCCTGTGCAATATCCTGACCAAGAGCCCGCATTCGTGACATCTTGATCGAAGTATTCGCAATGGTTCTTTTTCCACTCTTTGTGGTGCTTTTCCTTTATACATCCGCCTTCTATGTAAATTCATTGTACTTAACTTACGTTAAAAACGAACCTAGAAATAAACACTAAAAGTGTAATTTCACAACTCAGTTTCCTTTGGTTTTAATGATCGGTGTGTTTGTGATGTGATGTTTTCCCCATATGCACAAAATGTTTACTACCTTCTCTATTTGACTCTCGAAAATATTGAACATAGTACAAGAGATATTTTATAATCTAAGATGACAAACACACAGGGTGTACTAATTTTTGATGTCTTGGTGTTTTACATGTTAATCGATAAGTTAAAACAGTGTCCGTTAGCTAGAGGAAACCATATTTTTCAATGTGTATCTACATGTAAGAGGCAGTTTTATGCCGTCCTTAACAGATATATGTAAGTGATATTTGATTTAAGATTAGGTGTCTATTTTCCATATTTCTCAGCAAGGCTGAGATCTATTTCATTTCAATCAATGCGATCTAATCTTCCTTTTAATAATCGACTGTTAAAACTAGCGTTTCGAAGGCAGGTTTTCAAAAACCCTTTTTTATTGAATTTGGTGGTAAACACCTACACACTTTTTATTTATTGTTAAGTTTTTTTACCAAAATTCTGTGTTAACAATTATTTAGCATTGTACATATATTTTTTATGCAATTATATTATATTTGTATATTGTTTTCTAAGCTTCTTTTATGTTTGGTTGTCTCACTCTCTGCCATTACTTTGTTTTATTGCGTTATTGGATGAAGCAATAAAAAAATATCCACTTTTTGCGAAAATAATTCGTATGGAAATGGCATTCAATAATGTTTGTATGTTTTTGTTGACATCTATATCCCGAGTTACTAATTATAAAATCAATGGATTCAAATTATTTTTCTGTATTTTAATAGACTAACGATGTAACCTTGTAACAATATAATCTGGTTTACACTATTGGCTAGCGCTTTATTTCAAATTCCTTTTTTTCCTGGGATATAGAATGAAGTGCGCTATTTTATACTCAAATATTATGTATTGAAATACTTAACAGGCCTAACAACAGTAGTTTCACCATAATAATCGGCGTTAATATATTTGTCATTGTTGCTAGAACTTAAGTTATTTTTTTACAATTTGAATGACATCCTCATCGGCCATGATGTGGGAAAGGCCCACTCTTTGCGGGGAATATTTAGTGCTGGTGCCCCAAACCAAAGCGTATTTAAACTGAGCAGCTAACGTCCTAAAAACAGCGAATTTTTACGGATTGTTCCGATTAAATTAAAGACTCCTACCTATGAATCGAATGACACACATGTTCGACTGTAACTCCTTTTCGGAGAATTAAACCATCAGAAAAGTCTGGTGGCTGACCCGGTTTCTTCG